AGGCAGTTTTATTCCACTCTAAACTCATTGTGTTTGCTATAATGAAATAGTTTTAGGTTTAAGAAGTTTCTCTTTATCAAACATTACATTGCATAGAAGATTGCTTCAGTAGGAGCTGAAGTGATGATAGCTTTCAAACCCTTGACAAATGGAAATGCTGTCCCTTCAACTCCCCACTTCCTGCTGTACTGTTAAGGGTTTCTGGGCTTGAATCACCACCTTCATAACAGGCAGCTCAGTGTGATTTTATTGTAATGATGTGCGGATATCAGGGTTTTTTGAATGAAAACATGAGCCTTTCTGGAGGGCTTCAGATCCAAAAAATTAATGGCTTCCAAAGCTGCCCGAAGCCTGTGGCTTTCAGGGTCTTGTAAATTCAGCGAATGAGAGTCTCATACCAAGTGGGAGTTTTAGGGTGGACTTCATCACAGATCCATAGACAGGACCTTAGCAGAGAGAACAAGAACCATGCTGTTTGAGCTAGGCATGGAGGCCAGTCACCTGGCAGGCAGGAGAGCTTCACATATGAAAGACAAAGCCCAAAGTACCAAAGACAATACACACAGGCTCTGGCTGCCATCTGAAAGAAAGAGCCAGAAGACAGGGAAGAGGGGGAAGTTAAAGAAAGAAAAGTATGTTGTCTTATTAAAGAGATAATTATTCCCCCATCTCATTAATACATGGCTTAATATAAGTCTGTCTTCTTGGACATGCTCAACTAGATGAACTATTATGGGAGGAGACTTCCATTCCTTTGGCTGGGAGACGACTTTCATTTAATGGGCCCTTAAGGCTACTAAGACAATAAGACTAGGGTGCTAGGTTTTACAAAAGTAGCATAATTGCTTTCTCTTTGGAGATTTTAGAGTTAGCGGGTTTTTAGGAGCTGTGGAAGTTAACAGAGAACCTCTGCCTGCAGGCAGCTGTGCATGCATCAAGGCTGTTCACAGTGCACTAGCTGGCCCTGCTTTCCTTCCCTCTTGCTTTCCTAAAGGCACTCCTCCCTACCTGCTCTTTCCAGTCTTTAGCACATCCATCACCCTCAGCTATTAAACATGAGGCCCCACAGCTTTGCGGATGTGTTGCTTAAACAGCAGGTTTTTTCTTTATACTGTTATCACCCTAAAAAATAGCAGTCAGCCTCAGGTAAATCAAGGCCTTAATTACTCAGTAGCTTTATTTACAATTCATAGCATTAGAAATCACTTCAGGGAGAGACACTGGCAAACTCAAATTACCATTCTTTTTTTTTTTTTTTAAGTCCATAGATTTTTCTGCCTGTTTCAGCGATGTCTTCTTGCTCATTGCCCTGCATCTCCTTACTCCATAACTCTTGTTGAATTTAGTAAGGACTAATTTTTTTTTGGAAATGAAAAGCAGATATTAAGGCAAACACTTAAAAGCAGATTTTAGAGTTTTGTTGAATGTATTGTTAACGAAGAGATGGGTTCTGTGTTAAAGCCGGTTCAAAGGAGAAACCCAATAACAGACACATATACACATTAGCAATATTAATATTCTTGTGGAAAGGGAGGTCACATAAGCTTCTTTCATTGCAGGGGAGACAACTCAATAGCTTGCTGATCAAATGGTAGTTGTTCATCTAGCCACAGGAATTACTAATAACTTGCGAGGAAACAATGTTATTCTAAGAAAGGCAGATCAATTTACAACAACTACAAGTCCAGCAGTAAAACAAAACAACAAACATACACAGAATGATTGTGAGGTTGAAAGATGGTCAAATGTAGATTTGTCTTCAAAGTTCCAGATAGTAAATTGCTCTAGAGATTAAAGGCTTGCATGCTGCCAGCTCTTAAGGCTAATCAGTATGTAAAGACTTGTAACTTCACTGGTACAGACTTGATATATTCCAGAGCCACCTTCCTTCTCACCTTATGGAGGGAGAATTATGCCAATCATCCTCAAGAGGACATTTGTCTGGGATCCTGGCTTGTGATGCTATGGCACACACAGATGCATATGGCATAGAGTTTCATGGCCTGAGGGAAACTGGGGTGCAAGGAGTCTAAGCTGCTATGAGTAATAGTCCCCAATAAGGAGGACTTCTGGGTCAGTGAGGAAAGGCATATAATGTGAGAGTAGACAGAAGGATAGTCTGTGACAGATAATGATAGATGGAGAGATGGTAAATGAATGTATGCTTGGTGACAGATGATCTATAGGTACACAGATGCTAGTTTATAGATGACTAGATGGATAGTCCATAGATAAATGACAGGTATCCATGATATGTTATGGATGAGTGGATAGATAAGTGAACGATTATAGATGAATACACAGGTGATAAAGAATGGATATATACTATATAAATAGATGATAGACATTGAGTGGATGATAGATTACAAGTGAGTGGACAGGTAGGTAGGTAGATAAATGAATGAATATATAATAAGCAGATATATGGTGGATAGGTAAATGATGGATGGATAGGTTTTTAGATAGATAATAGATTATAGATAAATGAGTAACAGATACACAAATGATTCATAGCTGATAGATGAATATATGATAGATAAAAGTGGATAAGAATGGATACATACATGATAAATTACAGATAATACATAGAAGGTAGATAGTTGATAGATGGCAGATGAACATATGATAAGTAGATATTGGTGGTTGGATAGAGAGTAGATGAATAGCTGAGAGACAAAGGTAGCTTTCTGTATATATGGCAAGCTAACTCACTGGCTTGAAAGGAGGGTGCTACCATAGACCTGTCAGTGTCATACTTCATGATAGTTTGCTATCCTTTCTGTTCTTTGTAGCTTACAGAGTTACAAATAGTGCGATGGCAGTAGAAGTTTCAGAGCCAGCACAAATGAGAATGAGATGACATGGGGCACACCGCATCATTTTTATTCAGATTTTTCCTTACTTGATGATTCCTTCATTTCCCCAGTACATGCCCTTTGTATGTACCAAGCTGTGTGCTGGTGACACCATGATTAGCATGTAAAATAATGTCAGTGACTTCAGACTGAAAGTTCCCAATAAAATAAATCACTACAAATTATGCAGCCCTTGCATTTTATTATTATTGTTAGTTCTAAGACCACCCCAGAGACCTAGGCTACCACATCATGTCTGAATGACCATGAAAGCAACCCTAAGCTCAGAGTTTCCAGGATCCTCCTATTAAAACCTACATATGTGATTCCAGACCTGGCTGCAGGAACCCTCACTTCCATTGATGAACATCTCAGATGATTTTGTGTCTCCTTTGCTTTGGAGATATGGATTGTCTACTAAGCACAATTTCTCCTTCACAGCACACTTAGTGGCATTTTGTATAAAAAGGAAAAATAAAATTGTTTACAGAATCTCTCCTAATATCTGCCGATTTCAGTATTTCCAAAAGGAAACAGTTATAAGAGCAGCCATTGACTGGTAGCCATGCATGATGGCTTTAACCTTTTTCAGCCCCTGTAGGAAAAAAATACAAAACAGAGATGCTGAACTGTACAGAGGTCCCTCCTAACATGACCCAAAAGGCCCAGAGACAAAGACTCTAGGCAGGTTCGTTGTCTTGTTCTACTAAAAGTTACTCAGCCAGAGTTAAGATTCTTCATGCACAGCAGCAGATTCACCCCAGGAAAAGGCAATTGGTTCTGTTGAACAATGAGAGCCCAGTCTGAGGGAGCCCAGGGTGACTGGAGTTACTTGCTTAATAACCTTAAACTTCCAATGGCTATGGTTGAGTCAGCAAAAACTGTAGGATTTCTGACCTAGCCTATGGACTGGTTCTGCCAATTCATTTCAAACTTGGATATTAAAGCTTAGATTTTAATTTTTTTTCCTTCACTTTATGAAGGACACAGACCCAGGGCAGCTTTGCAACCTCATCTGATGGCCTCTGCCCTGTTCTTCAGGCCACCCATAATTAATATTATTAGCTTATATACAATGATTTTTTCTGAAGAGAAGATCCTACTGATTGCACCCTGAACTGAAACAGAAAGGAAAAGGGAAATCACTAGCAGTCATTTCACAGAAAACATGATCCACAAACAAGGAGTTTTTCGAATCTCTTTACCCCACTTTTTTATGGGGTAAAGGAATGATGGGTGCAGAAACTGTCAAACTTGACTCCCTTTTCTTGTTTCCATTGTTTATTCCTGTGAATGTATTAGCTAAGTGCAAGTAGAAATTCTACAATTCATCACTACTTTCCCCAATTTGACACACTCATTGATTCACAACTGTGTATAATAATCCCAATTCCAGGGAATATGATACCCAATTACAGGGAATATGGTAGCCTCTTCTGGCCTCCAAGGGTGCCTACACCTAGACACACACAGACACACACACAGACACACACACACACACACACACACACACACACACACACACAAAGTTTTTTTTTTTAAAGAAAGAAGAGGAAGGATGATATATATAGGTGTGTGTGTGTGTGTCTGTGTGTGTGTGTATACATACATACATATTGATGAAGAGATTTAAAAATTGTTTCATTTTGTCTGGTATTGTGAACAATTTTAAGATAAACAATTTCATTTTTATATCACATAGTATAAGCTATTTTACTAATTATAACATTCAATTTTTCACATTGTAATATGTACTTCTACATGTATAAACAAATAATATTTTACATTTAGAACACGTAGCAGTTTTATTTCTTGAAGAAAAGCTGGACTATCAGATTTCACTAGATGAAAATTCAATAATTCTGATTTTCTAATAATTTCATCTTAAATATTGCTGTGGTTAAACAATATAAAGCATAAGCAAAATCATGGCAAATGCATGGTGCTAGGGTACATTTCAGGGAAAGAGTCATTTTGTTGTAATTTAAAATCTTGAGGATCCGTTTGTGTTGATTCTCTCAAAGAGATTTGATGACTAGAAAGACTTAACCCAGAAAGAAGATGATTTTGATTTTCTTTATTTATTTTAACTTTTGCAGACTAGTGATGGTCTCCTCTCTTTCTTCCCCCATTTCTGCATACAAGAAACGGCATGGACCATCATACAACACAATGGCTCTGACTTAATGAGAGTCAGGAACACTCATTCCGAGAACCCACACACTGGGGTTTTTGATTACGCGGCTAGCATGGAACAGCTGCAGGCATCCATTAACCGTGCAGAGCACTGCCAACAGGAGCTTGTGTATTACTGCAAGAAATCACGGCTTGTCAACCAGCAAGGTGAGTAAACCAAGGCAGCCAACATGCTTTCTAGGCTGCATGGAGTGATGTGCTTACTCGACAAGCTCCTGAAAATTTCAATCCCACCGAGGCGCCGATCTTCTACACACTTAGCAAACTTGTCACAGTCTAGAATTCTCCGAGATTCTTTTGCCCGGAGAAAAGTACAAGGTCAATTTACATCGAGCTTTCTTCAAAGCCCTGATTGCTTTTTGATTCTCCTCCTGGCCTTAATCGGATAACTGCGCAGTAAAGGCTTCATTCTGGTACTAGATGAATGGAGATGGTGTTTATCCCTATAGAGAGCAAGTGGCCAATAAGGTTTATTTTATCAAGGACAAGAGTTAATGCAAGTATGACTTAGTTTTCTCAAAGTGACTGTTGTGTGTATCTCTATCTCTCTCCTTTTTCATGAACTGTTGACAGCTAGCCTCTTGGTATAGCTGAAAATTAGGAAAGATTGATAGAAAGAGTAGCCTACGCTGCTCAAGCATCAACCTGAAGAGCATCTAGTGAGAGCCCGCTCAGATCTGTCTGGTTCACTTGGGGCTTTTTCTTTGTTTGTTTTGTTTTTGCTTTTCAAGATAGGGTTTTTCTATGTAACAGTTCTGGCTGTGCTGGAAATACTCACTCTGCAGACCAGGCTGTCCTCCAACTCAGTTAAACGTCTGTTCGTTTTACCCTTTGCCCACTTAATGCAGGATTATTTTCACTACTACATCAAGTTCTCTCCTCCTTTTCCTCTTTTCCAGAATGTTCTCATTTAGTCTTTTATCTATCCAATCCTATCTTTATCTTGCTGGTTTTAATCATAGCTCATATCCTGAAAATTGAACTCTATCTATGAATGAGAGCCAGATTATTGAGCAGAAATAACAAGAGTTATTTGGATGTGAGGAGAGAGCTAACTTCCTGATCTAGGTGTCTCATTGACCGGATATATAACTGAGACGGATGAAGCTTTGATTCATCAAGAAAGTAACTTTTCTGGAAAGGCACTACCAACATAGACAGGGATGTTGTAGTGCTTGGAAAGAATGATACACATGATGAGGATGCTTTAGCTGAGCCCTGTTCAACCTCTGTCTTTCTTTGTGATTATAGTGAAAATATACAGCCTAGAATATAACAGCTTCCTCATATGCTTAATATTTAAGTTATTTCACATCACATAAGGCTCATCACAAATGGCAGGATTCCCTTCAGGTTTTCATTTCTGTTTTTAAAGTGGAAAACATTCCATTGAGCATATAACCCATTTTCTCTGCCCAGTTCACTATCAGTGAACGGCTAGGCTGCTTGTGTTTTAGCTATCTTGAATGAAGCTGCAGTGCTAATGGGAATCTCTTTGAGTTGATGTGAGTCATTATTCAAAGTGAAGCAAGCCAAACACAAGGTCACAAATGCTAAGTTGTCTTATTTGTTTATGGAACCTGAAAAGACTGAATTTGCAGAAACAGAGGATGGAAAAGTGACTACTGAAGGACAAGCAGAGGAACTAGAAAGGGGCCACAAGATGAATAACAGCTAGGCTCCTAAGATACAACAGCAGTATCATGATATGTTAATAATATCTTAAGATCTTTTCAGCAAATACACAAACACACATGCTTGTAACTATATAAAGCAACAGACATGGCAATTAGTTCATGTTGTATCATGATGTACATGTTGAAATAGTACAATTTTCATTCATTAGCTTTAACTTTAGTGTGAAAACTAAAACCTAAGGGAAGAAAACCATCAAAAGCACAAATGAGTCACATACTAATAAAACCAACAAACAGGATCCTCAAGGTGATACAAAGCAGACAGGGAAGAAGGAACTTCAACACCTGTGGTACTAGCAAAATCTTACAAGGTACGGTAGCCATGCTTGCGACTACACTATTCATCTTAGTGATTTTCCCTATTACTAGGATAAAATACCCTGTCAAAATCAAATTAAGGGAGAAAGGCCTTATTTGGGCCCATAGTGTGAGAGTGTAGTCATGGTAGTGGGGAGTCCTAGCGGGAGAATCTTGAGGCAGGTTGGAACATTGCACCCACACACAGGAGACAGATAGACATTTGTGCAGCCCGGGACCTAAGCCTAGAGAATGGTGTTCCCCATCTTTAAGGTGGGATTTCCAAATCAGTTAACCGAGAAAATGCATTTTAGGCATGCTCAGAAGTTCACCTCATCTAGATACTCCCTCACAGGTGTGTCTGGAAGCGTTCTTTCTAGATCAGTGATTCTCAACATGTGGGCTACGACCCCTCTGGAGGTCAAATGACCTCTTCATAGCCATCAGATATTTACATTATAATCCATAATAGTAACAAAATTACAGTTATGAAGTAGCAATGATAATATTTTAATGGTTGGGAGGTCACCACACACGAGGAACTGTATTAAAGGGTCTCAGCATTAGGAAGGTTGAGAACCACTGTACTAGATGATTCTAGAACCTGACAAGTTGATAGCCAACATTAATTACCACATTAGTAAAGAAAACAGTCCACTTTGAGGCTGTGGGCCAGGTAGCAATGAAGTCTGGTTATTGTTAATCACTCGTTTTCTTAGGTAAATACTCAGAATGTATCTGAGGTAGAGGAACTGAGGAAAGAAAGAGGTGTTTAGATGCTGAGCTCCCAGTAGGACCTGCAAAGAGGAGTGACAGGAAGGCAGGCTTGAATGTGGACCTTTGCATATCAGTAATGTAGCAGCTTCTAGCAATGACAGTGGCAGAACTGAGTATGAATATAGTGGAGCATTAGGAACACATATTTTTAGCAGATGAGATTTCAGCTTACTGGAAGGATGGTCTTGGGTACAACCAGGTCGATTAAGAGTTTAACTATGGGAGATGGAGTGTTTTACCCTAATCAATTATCGTAGTTCTATTTTATTTAAAAAAAATTCGTGTTTTAAAAAAATGCATCGATACATTTATTTAAATTAGTTAATCTTTAAAAAGTCTTCAATGGACCTAAATGTATTTGATGGCTTTAAAACATGTAACATGAGCTGGTGAAATAAATGAGTGGGCAAAGGTATTTGCCACTAAGCCTAATGATCTTGGTTGTATCGCTGATAGCCATATGGTAAAAAAAAAAAAGAACCAATTCCTGAAGGTTTATCTTATCTCTATATACATACAGGTACACACACACACACACACACACACACACACATACACACTGTAATAACAAATGATATGCAAAGCATTTTGCAATTTAACTTTTACAGTGAAGATCAGAAATATAGCTATAAAATATGACTTAGATTTTTAGAAATAACAATCTTTTTTCTCAGTCTATGAACATATAATATTTTGAGCAGTGTACCTTAATATTCCTAGAAAAAATTTCAAGTAGGCTTAACTGCTGATGACTTGTGAGTCAATCAAGTTAGAAATAGAAGTAGAAAGATGAGGTTAAGAGCTTTAGATAACACAAGCTTCCCAATCCTTCCTCCCTGCCTTTGTTTCTTCTCTTAAACACAGCAAGTGTTTGTATTAATGCTGGGAGAAAAACTGTCAGTATTCACAGAAGGTCTACCTAATAGAAGGTTAAAATAAGCACTGTGTTAGTCAGTAGGGTACGAATGAGCAAAGCTGCAGAATCCCTGTGGGAATGATGGTGGTAACATAAAGATTTGAGAGTCAAGAGGAAAGTGCCCAGTCCTTCGCAGGAGACTGACTGATTTGGTGTTGCTTGTGTTCTTCTTCTGCTCTGTGTCTCCAAACACTATGATTCTTTTCCTCTGAACTTTTTTCTCCCCTGAGATAGATTGCCTGCATGCCTCACCTCCCTTTCTACAAATCCTCCGCTAAATGTTCTGTCTGCTCCTTGCTTCAGTTCCTTGGCATCGTGTTTAGTCTTGGCTCTGGGAAGGAGCTGGTAGCTGAACATTTATCGTAGAAAGAGATGCATTTAGCTAGGGGAAACTTTTTTTTTTTTTTTTGAACTGTAATATTCGCTTCAGGCATGAAGATTTTTCAGTATTATTTCTGTAGTTCTCAAATAAATAGCCAAGCCAGTAAATGGAAGAGAAAATACAGACTTCCCGATAAATCCTAAATCATGACAAAGGAGTGTTATACCCATGCCTGATGTCTAATAAACTGCTAGTATATTTTAACCAATAAATATATGGAGAAAAATCAGTGCCTTTGTATAGTATTCCAGGATGTTTTCATGAGTGTTTTGTGATTTAGAAACAATTTTATTTCACTATATTAACTACCATAGTTTATATTTTGATGCCAATCTCTTTTAAAGATTATTTTTTTTAAAGGTGCAAGTAAGAAGTCTCGTGATTAAATGTGGACTGATGGTTTCTATTCAAAGAACAATGTATTGCTCATTTCAGAGAGGAAAGGAGGGGTGGGTGGAGAGTCAGCCCAGCAGTGAGGAGCAGACACTGAAGACCTGCATTCATCCTAGCACCCACAGAAGGTGGCTCGCAATGAACTGTAACTCCAGTTTCACAGGCTCGATGTCCCCTTCCTGTCACCTGGATGCATAACTCTATGTGCATGCAAACTCATGCACAAACACACATTCATAAAGAATGAGTGTGTAATGAGGGAGAGGGAACTGGGATCGATATGTAAAATAAGAAAAAAATTAAAAAAAAGCAAAACAAAAGATTATAAGGATTGTAAAGTGGCATTTTAAAAAGACTTAAAGTATTTTGTAAAGACTGTTTTTCCAAAATGCTGTCAATTACAGTGTTTAGCGCATTATTACACTGTATCAGTCCCTTTCTGTCTGCATCTCTGTTTGTTTGTCCCTCCCTGTGTATTTCTCTCTCTTTCCCTCTCTCTGTCTAGGTCTGTTCCTCCCTCTCTGTGTGTTTCAGTCTCTTTCTGTCTCTGTCTCTTTCCCTTTCCCTTCCTCTCACTCCTCCAGGACATCTTTACTTTTAATGACAAAGGAAGAAGGAACAATGCTCTAAGATGGAAAAAGATGATTCATCCCTCTCCTTTGTGTTTCAGACGGAAGCCCTCGGAGCTGGTGGGTGGGAAGAACCAATGAAACACAGACCTATTGGGGAGGTTCCTTGCCTGTGCCTCAAAAGTGCACTTGTGGCTTGGAAGGGAACTGCATCGATGCTCAGTATCACTGCAACTGTGATGCGGATCGGAGCGAATGGTAATTTTCCTTTCAGTTACATCCAGGGTATACAGCTAGGTGGATGCTAAACAGATTCATTTGAGGAAATAATTAGGTGAAAATATGTTTTGATGATACATGGTACACTCATTCTAATTCTAGAGGTTAAGATAGGAAACTTTCAGAGGCTATTTTAATAACAGGCCGCATGCTTTGCTTATTTTATTTTTATCATATGAGAAAACAGAAATGTCTATGACATGAGAGTTGTGATTCTCCCTAGTTCCTTGTCAATGTTAATATCATTTCTACAGTATTATGTAAACAGTTACCAAAGTACATCAATATAGGCTGCGAACTTTAGAAGTACCAATTTGTAGATTTTGAATTATACAATTCTGAGCAATGATTTTGGTATATAGTTCTTTTATATTTTTTAAAGGATAAAGTATGCCAGAAAGAATAAATGTTATATGGATAAATTCTGCAAAATGTAAATCTATTACATTTAGAGATTTGAAAATGTGAAGTTTTTCTAAGCATAAAAAAAAATCCTATGCACGCATTCCTTTTATCTTAAAAAATAATATTTTTGTCTTTGAGCATAGACTCTAGGTATATTGCTCTTATCTATTATTTGCAAGTGAATATTTTAAATGTTTTACTCACATTTCTTCACAATACATATTTGTCTTATATTATTAAGCAGTTGGATCTACATGTATTTATTTATTTTTAAAATTTTACTCCGAGAATTTCACAGCTGAATACAATATGATCATAACCATTTCCCTTCTAACTTTCCTGAATCTCCCTGCACATGTCCCCTTCCTTCACAGCTTCACACTTTCTTTTTCTATTTTGTTTAAATAACAACTCTGTTTCCAGTTAGTGTTATCTACACATGCACGGGTTTGGGACCACCTGTTAGAGCAGAGGCAATCTTCCAGTGGCCACACTCTCCAACAAGAATGGTTCTCCTTCCTCCAGTAGCTGTCACCTGTAAGAGCATTTCAGTTAGGGGTAGGGCCTCTTGAGAGCTCTCCAGGGCTACAATGTGACCATGCTAGAATGTCCACAGGCTTGATCTTGTGCAGATCACTAGAGCAGCCATAAGTTCAATAGCTGTGTCATATCCAGAACACAACATTTTACAACACTCCTCCCCAACCTCCAGATATTGCATTCTTCTTTTTTATTTTTTCATACCATACATTTTGATCATATTCTTTTCTCTGCACCAGTCCTCTGCCTTCTTGTCCCAGTGATCTTGGAGCCTTGATGTTGGAATGTTGGTAAACATGTCCCACTTACTGTCACCCGTTCTCGACACTTTAATGTATTAATAACCTGGATGTGAGAACATGGCTGAGTTGAGTGTAAGGTGGACATATAGTTCAGCAATCAGTTGTTGTTAAATGAACTCATTGTTTGAATTATGTAAACACAGTTTGCTTGCTTGTTAAACATCATGGTTATGATGATGCTATATATGTGGTTGTGTATATGAATGTATATAATGTATGCATACATACACAAACATGCATAAATAGATACATACATACATACATACATACATGTGAGGCTATTAGAACAACATGGAAGAAGAATTTGTGGGGAAGCATAAAGCTGTGATTGAATTTTTATATGAGGAATATAATCTCTCTTACCTAAACTCTAATGAATGGGGGTGGTCTGGGAGAAAATGGGGGGGAAGAGTGAGTAGAATCAAAAAAACATTGTATGGAATTTCATAAGGACTAATATTTACTCCCTTTGGATAACACCATTTTTCTTAATATATTCACAAAAATTGTTCACACAATGAAAACTGCAATTTTAAATCTGTAAAATTGTTATTAGCAGTGCTTAACAGCAACAAAAAATTAACCTAATCACCACCAGTAACCCCCAAGTGCCTTCACAACACATTGCTAATTAAAAATAGTTTTTAAAAATAAAGAGTTTAAAAATGTCTCATATTCCATTCAGTTTATAGATAAAGAACCACACACACACACACACACACACACACACACACACACTGTGTTTACAGACTCAGCAAAATATTATAATAAGTACCAGGTTCTGCAGAGATGACTCACCAGATAAGGGTACTGGTTGACAAGGCTGGTGACCTGACTTCAGTCCCTGGGACCCACATGGAGGAAGGAGAGAAACAATTACTGAAAATTGTCCTCTGACTTTTACACACATGCCATGGAATACATTTCCTAAATAGAGTTTAAATCAATAAATGTACTGAATAAATAAGTGTTTGAGACCAGAGAGATGGCTCAACAATTAGAGCGGTTGTTGCTCTTCAAGAGAATGTAAGTTTAGTTCTTAGCACCCACCTGGTAGCTAGTAACTGTAACTCCAGTGCCAGGGGATTCAACACCCTCTTCTGATACCCAAGGGCACTAGGTACACTTGTGGTGGAATTACATACATGAAAGCAAATATTTATTATATAAAATAAAAACAAATAATAAACCTTAATGTGTATGTGACTGAGTGTATGTGTGTGTGTGTGTGTGTGTGTGTGTGAGAGAGAGAGAGAGAGAGAGAGAGAGAGAGAGAGAGAGAGAGGAGAGAGAGAGAGAGAGAGGTCCAGGATTAGTTGAAAGAAGAAAACCAAGGTGAATGAGACCTAGGTTTAACTTTCTTTTCCTCTGCAGATATTAGCTGTGTCTTGCTATTAGTAACCTAAACGTCAAGGGAATTCTGTATTATTTTTATTTTTATATGCAATGTGATATATCAGAAGGCAGAGGTTGGGGAATAAAGAATGACTGGAAATTGGAGGATAGGGTAATTTTCAGACAAAAGGAAAGCTGAATAACTCCTGTTCTGGATCCTCAACTGCCTTTCAAAGTGTGTGTGAATCAGGAAGATTCTGGAGCCAAGGAGAGAGCTTCTAGCATAAGACTAAACAAACAACAGACCACTCCCTCAATGGCTGCTGGAGGAGAAAAGGATCAGGGCTGTTAAGTCTCTGAGGCTGGCTTTGAAAAATCCTTCAGTTTAAGGCAGGAGTGGCAAAAAGTTTATTTCTTTACTACAAAGACCCTCAAATTGAGAGGGAATACTGAGGCAGCCATAGAGAACCCTGGCAAGCATGAAATCATAGGCTTCTACCTAAATACCCATGGGGAAAAGTAAAATGTTAGGGAACAATAAAAATATAGTATCTCAGCCTTGTAGTGGTGGCCCACACCTTTGATCCCAGAACTCAGGAAACAGAGGCAGGCAGGTCTCTGTGAGTTCATGACCAGCCTGGTCTATAGAGCAAGTTCCAAGACAAGACTCCAAAGCAATACAGAGAAACAGAGAAACCATGCTGTGAAATATACGTGTGTGTGTGTGTGTGTGTGTGTGTGTGTGTGTGTGTGTGTGTGTGTATTCTCTTGACTATACACATTACTGGCTATTTCAAGAAAGTACACATCCACATAAAATCAGGACATTGAATAAGATTATTGTAAAGTCTTGGCTACATTTTAAAATTTGGAGGTAAAAATTTAAAGCTAATATTATAGACATGTTTGAACATCTAAAGTTAAAAATATCCACATTGAGACAATAGGGAATTTAAAGTAAATAAAAATTAAACTATACTAAAAGACTGAGTGCACATTTTAGAAAGGAAAATTAACATCTGAAATAAAAATAATGGTGATAAACTTTCTGGAATAAAAAGAAATAACATCAGGTGAAAAGTCAGATATTTAAAAAGAAATGAAGAGTATTAGAAATTGTACATTTCCCCATGTTCCTTAAATACAAAAATAAAATTCTGTGTTTAATTACAGTACAAAGTTGATAATATACATCTAAAGTAGATTACCACAATACCACAAAAAAGTTTGTTGTATTTCTATGTGTATGGGGGTGTTATTCTCATGGAGAGCTTCTGATATTACATGTTGTTATACAATAAAAAATATAAGTAGACTAAAAAAGTCATGAATGCATGTTTTAAATCATTAATGAAATAGCAAAATTTGATGAACAGAATTTTATCTGAAAAAATGAATAGAGAAGATATGGTTGAATGTTAAAGAATGTGGAGTTGATTAATAGGTACAAGAAAACAACAGCAAAAACAAAACAAAACGAAGCAAACCAAGCCAATTGCAAGTAAAACATAGAAGGGAAGAAGCAACAAATACTAAGTACTTTGACTAAAAATCAACACAGCAAGGTTCAGTAAATTAACCATTTCATTAAATGCCAAAAATTTTCCATTTGATCAAAAAACATAGCCATTGTTTTATTTTTGTATGCCATAGAAATCCTGATGGGGACAGCTTATTTATTTATTTTTTATATACACATATTATTCATTTTGGTTGTTCTCCAAACCTACTCCTATTAACCCCTCTCTTCTACAATCAAGTCCTTTCCCCATGTTCTTGTCTTTTCATTTTATTTTGTGACCACTGAATTTAACCAGGGCCATCTGTGTGACAATGTATTTGGAACTGTTTATAGGATCCCGGAGAACTCAGAAATGGGTAAACAATGAACAATCACTACCCTTGCCCTAGAGTCCACTACTAGCCCATGGTTGAGTATTCCCAGAATGGGAGAGGGCTGTTGAGTCAGGAGAAAGGAATCCACTCAAAAAACCATTATATTCTGATCTTAACCTTTGTTATATTTTGTAGTCTAGACTTTAACATCTACAAGAGAGACTAACATTTTGCCCTGTTTTGTATGCTAAGATAAGCAATTAGATTTTTTTTTGTCAGTGTCCAAACTTAGTAGGAAAGTCTTCATTTAGAAGTGCTAGGAAAATCATAGCTTATTTTAGAATTCTGTTCATCATCATAATTTAAGGATTTTGTTGCTGTTCCTGTTTATTTTAGGACCAATGACACTGGATTTCTCTCCTATAAAGAACATCTGCCAGTTACTAGGATAGTGATTACTGACACAGGACGTCCCCATTCAGAAGCTGCATATAAACTGGGACCTCTGCTCTGCCGGGGAGATAGTAAGTGGTCCCAATGTGTGGGGTTATCAGAAGTCTTTTTGCTTAATCATCATGTGTCTATCATAGAGTTATGGAATCAGAATTCTGTCAAGAAAACCCATGAGACATATTCTTTACAGTGTATGCATATGGGTGTGTGTGGGTGGAGGGAGGCACATGGGCCATGATAGAGGTCAGAAGACAGCTTGAGAAAATCTGTTCTCACTTTCCAACATGTGAGTACCAGGGTTCAACTCAGATCATGAGACTTGGAAGCAAGTGTCTTTCCCATTACCCATCTTCACCTTTGGAAAGGTAAATAGAACATTGGCTGTGTCACTGATTGGTTCATAGATGCACCCCAGCATTTCTAAATTTCTCCATATCTTTATCTACTTAGAAAGGACCAATGCTATACAAAATGGTTAAGAATTCATGTGTACTTCCTAATGGTATGCCTGGGGTAGGATAAGAACATTAATAGAAGCAGATGTCAGTTTGATCAAACATATTTCAACCTTTAATCTCTATTCCTTTTCAGTTTATATGTGTGTGAATTGACTTTCAAACAATTGGACTTCTGCTTTGTATACTTAATGTGCTACCATTCTAAAATAGGATTTTAAAATTCAGAAGTACATCACACACACACACACACACACACACACACACACACAGAGTGCATGCTCCCACAATACTTAAATATTTATTTTTCATCAGGTAATGAAATGAACAGAGATTCTTAACCTCTTCCTTTTCAAAATCAGTTATCTTTGAGGTAGATATCTTGATTATGTATGCTTTTAGTATTTTCAGAAATTAAAATGGAAGTAGAAAGAAATATTTGCTTGCATTAAAAGCATACCCTAAAATACAGTTTTATTGTGGGAGCTCCACATAAGAAAGAAAGATGTGACATTCAGTAGATATAAGGAGATATGCAGCTAAGTTGCTTAGTTAAGAGGCAAAGATGTTACTGGCCTATAAACATTACATATGCATTCTATAAAACTGCTATTCTACCCACCATTTCTGGTGTTCATCAGCCTTACCCCTGCCTCCATCCCACAATCTTATGAAGATGGCACAAGGATGTTTGCTGAAGGAAAAATTATGAGCAGAGAGATGAGGCTGTAAACTCAGCATGCATCCAGAGGAGTACAACAATATTCTGTGGCTACTGAGAAGTGCATCTATACATCACCTGTCCCGTCACTGCATGCTTAGATCAAAACGCCGCAGTAACCAGTCAGGCTGCCTTTCTTATTACATGTGCCTCAATTTCTGGTAAATGCGTGTGCTTCCTCTGAGGTTACTACAAACTTAATCCCTTAGGATTTCCTTCCTTGTGATGACAGAGGTAGAGACAGAGAGGGCAGGAAAAGAAAGGACAGGTCTGGGGACCAAATGTATCCTTAAAAGTCTAACTCTTCTACTTAGATTCTCCTTAGTTTTCATCATCTTCCAATAACACCATCAAATTATGAATTTACCATTGGATTAATTAATTGAACAAGTCAGACCCTCCTAATCTATTAACTTCTGCTGACTGGTTCTAGGCAAAGACTAATCCTCTAGGTAAAGACCAATCCTCCAGGTAAAGACCAGTCCTCCAACACAGGCCTCTGGGAAGACACTTCATAGTAATCTATAACAGAGCTTAGCGACTAGTTTTCACTCGAAGACCTTTATAAAATATTCCGCGGAAGAGCAAGTGGCTGCAAACCGATCTCACTCCTTTTCACTATGTGGTAATCTGTACACTTAAAGTGATAATATTCCAGCAAAGTTCCAAGCAAGATACACTGGGCAGATAAGGCAGCACACAGAAAGGGATATAACATAACCTTGACATTATCAGAAGTGGACTCTAAGTGACTTTGGGTTGGAAATAATCAAAATCTCATGATTCAATTGAAACCACAAGGTAGACTATAAACCTAGTGACCAATAACGTGACCTTTGATGTAATGCCGGGGAAAATGAAAAGGGGAGGGCTCACACAGTCTGGGAATTGGTTGGCATGGAGTGAAAAAAAGAAGGGCGTCAATTAGGAAAGTTAATGGAATGATCTAAATGGAGAGTCGCAGTTAGTGTTTGAGGATGACCTATAACTTTACAGTTTGACTAAAACTGGTTCTGTCATTCAATTGAGATGTGATTTTTAATTATCTTTGAACAGACAAGCATAGGCGTATAAACACAAGAAAAATAGGCTTAATTTTTTTCTCAGAAATATATCCAGAGTTGTAGTTAGAGATGTTGGAAACTTTAACTCTAGCCATTTTGTGTAAGAGAGAATAGAAGTGTTGAGAAAAATTCAAGTAAGTTGAAACTGACTGTGAGCTCTATGGCTACTAGCTAAGAGACTTACTCTAATTAATGGATATTATCTTTTCTTTCAGAGACTTTAGTTTCTACCACAAGTTGATCTGGAGTCCACATCACTCCTAACATTATTGTTGATAGCAGAAATCATATGCAAAAAATTTAAGGTGCTTTTCTCAAAAGCATGGTGGCTTGGAATAGTAAAGCTGATTTTTCGGCAGTCAATGCCACAATGCCAGTAAATATTATTATCCTTAATTGCCATTATGTTAAAACCTTTATCCTTCATGTGATTATTTATGTTGTTCTTTTAATGACCCAGTTTTTAGATTAAACAACAGTATTTCATAAATCTCATTTGGTTAATTGATTTATTGTTTTTGTTGTTGTTGTTGTTTGCTTTTGTGGGTGTTTTTGTGTGTGACACATATTAAGGAATCACTTAGACAATGTAAAAAAAGCTTACAAATTTTGACAAAAGGATGAAACTACAAAAAGATCCTCACGTTCAAAGCAGATACCACTTCCTTTACCTGTTAATAGTTCTCTTTCACATCTTGCTAGAATTCCTGTCACCCAGAAGCCTTTGCAAAACTTTTCCCTTTTTATTACAATGGCTTGACTTTTCCAGGATCACTTAACAATGGAGTAGTCCAAAACTATTTCCTTTTTCAACTGGATTCTTTAACTTTGCATAATGCACTTGATTTATCAGTGTGATTATATATACCCTTAGTTCATCCTTTTTTTTTGTTGTTGTTGTTTTGTTTTTCTTTTGTGATTCAGTAGTTGTCATATGGCTGACTTATGGTAAATGGAATGTGTTTGTGCAATGTTTGGTCATTTCCAGCTTTAGGAGACTATTAATAAAGCCAGTATAGAATTATGCTCATGTTATTGATTTCTATCTAAAAATTATCCTAAGAGAGGGATTACTGCTTCATATAGTGCATGTAGATATGATTGACATTGTAAAACACAGCAAAGGGCAGGGATGACCAATCATGCCTCAGATTCCAAACTCACAAAAAGACAAAAGATTTTTTTAGCATCACCGTGATTCTTAGGTTCTCCAGGTGGGTTCTAGAATCTTTGGAAAAGGAAAGAGGGGGGGTGAGTGTCGTGTGTGTGTGCACATGGGTGTTTAGAGGTCAGAGGATATCTAGTGTCAGTCTTCACCTCCCACCTCGTTGGAGGCAGTGCCTGCGTTTCCTTGTTCTCTAACAAATAATCTAAGAAATGGCCTGAAGGCTTAGAGAAATTCTCTCATCTCTGCCCCTTACCTTGTAGTGGAGACACTGGTGGATGTGGATGCATGTTTTCACATCTAGCTTCATATGGGTTCTGGGGATCTGAGTTCACATTTGCATGGTAAGGTCTTACACACTAAGCCTTCACCTCACTCCTGAGTTCCAAAGTCTTCCTGAATATATACCTAACTTTCTTTTACTTCAGACACAAAAGGCCTACAGGAAATAATAAAAGGGAAAGATTGGAGTTTACCAGTTGGCAGAGAGCTGAGGAAATTTTAACCCTGAGCTTTTATGTCTCCTCCAAGGAGCTGTGGGACAAATTTGAATTTGTCATACCAGAGACAGTCTCTAGACCAACAATTCCTCCATGTCAGCATATATTTATTCCAGTGCTCTGTAGCTTATTCCTAAAAGTTCTTATTCAGGAGATGTGGGGGTGGGTAGATCATTTTCTAACATCCTTCTGGAAGCTTCCAGTGTATAGACATATCTGTTTAGTATGGTCTAGATCAGTTTGTTTCATAGGCTGGTGTTCTGGAAAGTCTGTGTGTCAGTCAATGATGAGGTTGGTATAGGATGTAGAATGTGTTTTTAGAATGATTCATGCCAATTGGATAGAAAAATTTATGGCTGTTGAACACAGCAATAATAAAAGATGGACTAGAGATGGTGGATTTTTTGTGCTGTTGTTTTTCTCATTCTGTTTTTTTTTCTAGCAATTTATTTTTATTGTAGTCATACAAAAGCATCAGTTCATGATGGATTAGGGCCAGAAGGAAAAGAAAACTGAAAGAAAGTATGTTTTCCTAAGAGAATCCCAGCTAGAAACTAGCAGTTGGCTTAGGTCTGAAGTGGTAGTGACCTAGAGCCCAAATATTCCTTGAAATATCTTTAGAACTCCTTTTAGTTTCTAAGGAGACATAAAGAAATCAGGTATAATGGAAAAGTTAAGTGGTTTTGAACACACAAGACACAGACATCATGGGGATATTCTGCTATTCTGTGAACCCTCTACCACAAAGAACCTGCATGGACCTCAAAGCCATTTGGCTCCCTTGCTTTCTCCCTCACTTACATTTTCATGCAAATTCTCCCCTTCTTTACTAAACTCTTTAAACAGTCAGATTAAAATCTTTCTTCAATGGATCCCTCCTCTCAGATCTCTTGAGGGCACAGACCTTCTGCCCTCTATTGAGACAAATGTTGAATATATTATAAAGGCATATTTCTCATCTTTTGATTATGTTTGAGCCCTCAAGAGTAGGGTCCATTGCTCATTTATTTTTATATTTCTGGTACCCAGTATTTGCCTATGACATGAAAGGAAATCAATAAATAGCAGTTTGTAGAAGAATGGGAGTGATCCATCACATGCATCTAGAGAAATCTATAGATGGTTTGTGAATTATTGCTAACAAACAATTTGATGATAAGTAGATG